TAAAAGATTAGGCCTCATGCAAGATAGCCTTATGGAAGCACTAAACAGAAGAAAAAATCTTAATCTCTCCAATAAACAATGCTGGCGGGATATTAAATTCATTTTTTATGAAATTCCTATAGAGTTTATGGAATGATATATTCAAATTATTTGGTGCTGTGTTTGTCAGGATATTAAGGACATATTTTACAAGTATATAGTTAAATAGATAACCAATATGAAATGTGATTAACTTTTATTTACAGTTATAATTCATATGTAAAAGAAAAGGAAAACAGAAAAACTCCAAAGAGAAAATACATATTTTCCATGTTTCTAGATATACGTGTGAAAGTGATCAGTTTATGTAAATAATATCATCAATATGTGTTTAAAAAAGATATTTATTTCTATGTATATTTTGATATATATGAACATATGGGCAGCCATATTTTCATTATTACATTTGCAGGCTGTGCTTCCTTGCTTATCTTCTAATGTAATTCAAGTCATCTGACCAGGGTCAGCTAATTAAAATTATTGACTCTCTGCAATATCTAATAATAAGAAACTTCCATAATAATCCTGAGGTGGTGGTGTTCTCTGCAGCATTCTCCTGTGAGCCCAGGGAAACTGGATCGCCTACCCCCCAAGAGGTGGGTCCTTGACACCCTGGGCTCATAGGGAGCGGGTTGAATGATGCTGGATGAAACAGCAGCACCATCCAGTGGCAGAAAGCCCTTGGGAAAGTGAGGATATAGGGTAAGGATATCCTATAGGATAAGGATATAGGGCAAGTATTGAGGCTAGAGCTGTGTTGTTGTTTTTTTAGCAATGCCTGAAAAATGTATTGAAAAAAAAAATATATACCTGGAGCTATGTTTTAAAAAGGATCTCAGAATACTGCTTATTTTTTAATTTTCAGTTACACTGAAATCTATTACTATTTATGTCAAATCTTTCCTTAAAAATAAATATTTAATACAGGGTGTGCCTATGACAATGGATTCATAAGCATTATGACATTTCAAAAGAGAGAACACAACATAAGCTGTGGCCTCTCTATCTCTGATTGATCCTTTTAACTGAGCAGACTGTAAAGAAAAGGCAGGAGGCAGTGGAGTCACTGCACTGACTTTTTCAATAATATGTGTATATTCCAGCTTGAGCTACTGAGCTCTGAAAACAAGTTGCTTTTTTGGAAAAGCAAATACGGATAAAGAGGAAATTTCCACATTTACCAGAGTAAAAAAAAGATTTTTTTGAAATGTGAATTTTAATCCTGACCACAATAAAGCAAACAAAAAACCACAATGCATTCCCTTCAAATTTAGACCCATTGCGGTGTTTACAGTTTACTGCATGCGACTGTAAAAAGCAGATGAAAGGGAAAATAATACAAATGGGCTTTGATGTGTAATTCATTTTGTATCCCCTTTCTTTTACTCAGTAACACAGAGTCCATTCAAACCTCTGTGTAAGGAAAATATTAAAAGTCAAATAGAAGCACAAACATCATATAAAGAATAAGAACAGTGTCACAAAGGTCTTTTAACCAGATATATCTTAATTTCAATAAACAGGGTCATCTGGCAGTCTCCGGCCACCTAAATTAGGACCCGGAGACTGTCAGATGACCCCGCTCGGAGCGCCGCCCACCGGAGCAGCAGTGACGTGACGCTCGGCGAGGTAAGTAAGAAGAAACCTGACCAGCGTACTCACTTTCCTCAGTGATCGAGACGCTGACTCGAGTATAAGCCGAGGGGGGCATTTTTCAGCACAAAAAATGGGCTGAAAAACTCGGCTTATACTCGAGTATATACGGTATATATATACTGTATATACCATTCATCATGCCAACCTATCTATATATAGATACACATCCATCACGCCAACCCCAAACATACAGCCAATGTCGTTAAGATCTTCAGCATAAAGAAGAACAAGGAGTCCTGGAAGTTTGGCCCCCACAGGGCCCTGACCACAGCATCATGGAGTCTGTCTGGGATTACATGAAGAGACAGAATGATTTGAGGCAGCCTACATCCACACAAGATCTGTGGTTAGTTCGCCAAGATGTTTGGGACAACCTACCTGCCTTCAAAAACTGTGTACAAGTGTACTAGAATAATTGATGCTGTTTTGAAGACAAAGGGTAGTCACACCAAATATTGATTTGATTTGAATTTCTCCTCTGTTCATTTACTTTCCATTTTGTTAATTGATAAAAATAAACAAATACTTTTATTTCTGGAAGCATCCTTACTTTACAGCATTTTTCACACCTGCCTAAAAAATGTGCACAGTACTGTATATACACAACGTATTTCTGTACATACGGTATATCTCCTATTTACACACTTCAGCCCTGAAGAAGGGGGGAATTATGTTACCCGTGAAATGAGCTGGCTATCAATTTATAATAAAAGACAATCATATGCAACTAAATGTGTCATCAATTCATTCTATTTCAAGCATCTTTTCTAATTTGCCTGAAGGTCCTTCAACTGATTGAGGGTAACCCTAGTTTAGTAACAACTGCTATTCCTACATCACTAGCTGGCAATTCTTCACATCAGCTGGATCTAAAAAAAACATCAGATCCAGCACCACTTTTGACCAAACCCTCGACGTCAGTCAGCTTGCAATATCCCCTGCCCACCTATATTTGCCTAATTGCTAAAGTTGCTCTTTCTATGTCTATGTAAAATAATACAATATATGAAAAAGTCATTGAAATAACAGTGCTTATAAATACAAATAAAGTATTTTCCTATATAGAAGTAGAAAATGTACAAAAGAAAATTCTCCAAAATAAAATGTAGAGATGGAAATCTTATATGACAGAGCTAATATTTGATATAAATGAATGCCTGGTTGAAAAAGACCACAGGCTTATGCCATTAGATGTGAAAATGTAATAGAATGCAGTTGAAGATTAAAGGGTATTAGAAAATAGACATAAAGTAGAAAAGCATGCACAACAACAAAGAGAAAACATAAAAGCCAGAAGAAGATCAGCCAGTTTAGAAATGACACTCATTTATTGACACACAGCACAGAGAAATGGATCTCAAACTACCTTATTTATACAGTATGGAAATATTAAATGACACCCATGTTACTATCCAGCTCTGAGAACCTCAACATGATAATGTTCAAGGAAACTTGTGCTCATAGGATGTGTAAAGTTCAGTTGGTGTCTTTTGTTTGCTATAAGATGCTCTGGGTACAATGTTTTGCAGAGTGAAGTGTAAAGCTGGTCATACATGGATCAAATTGTGGTTAGTTTCTGCTGAATTGGTTGAAATTTGATCTGTGGATGACCCTGCTGAAAAGTAGATTTTTCCATTGTCTTTTGTTGAATGAGCCAGGTGGAAAATGTCAGTCAGCTTTCAGCCAATCAGCTGCACTCACTGTCTCGGTATTTTGGCAGCCGCATGCTTTGGCTGTCAGAATACAATAGTCAGCAGGTAAAATTTCTCAATTTTACTTTATTGTGATGTTAGCCTTAGATTTATTTTTTTTAACATGTGATTAGCTGCTATAACCAACAGATCTATTTTGAAACCCCCAGTACTCTCACGATAACGAGCACATATGTACTTCCTAAAGTGCTTTCCTCTAGCTTTGCAAGGTTCATGTTCTTCCTTGTCACTGCATTGCCACCACTGCCACTTCCTTCCGGTTTTTGCTTGGGTCCTGAGTCTTCTTTCTTGTCTATGGGCATGCGCACAGAATTTACGGTGTCCTGGCACCCGCCTCTAACTCCTAGCATCTCACAGATTGTACACAGAGCTCAGTAGTCAGTGTACAATTAGAAAAAAAATGCTAACAGGCAGGGGAAGAGATTTTAAAAGCAGGGTCGACTCTATAATGAGGCAGCCTAAGGCTGTTGCCCCAGACGGCATCTCTGTGGGTCACGTGGGAGAGCAGCAGGCAAAGCAGCATGACTCTGCTCCACAATGTGTGCAGTACATTCCCCTTCCAGCCAGAGTGTCCCAGGTTGCTAAGAGCTTGGTGAGGAGATGTGTAAGGGCCAAACACATCTCCCCACCCAACTCTTAGCAACCTGGGATGCTCTAGCCAGCGACACTGCGGAGAAGTCATACAGAGTCTCTTCGAACTGAAAATAAACTATTAAAATTGCAGCTTTAGTTTCCCTTTAAGCATTTGGTAGACACTGGTGCCTTGAATTAGACATATCTTGAGAGTCCTGGCAACACAATATCTGCATGTGCCCACATAAATATAGCTTTGCTGCACGCACCATGGTGGATATACAAGTTGTACAACATCCTATTAGAAACAACATGCTTTGATTCAGAGTGCTGGGCTGAGTACCGATTTCCATGAGTGACACTGATTTGTTTGACATTTTCTTAATAAAAGACAATTTTACAATATGGGATTGTCTCTTTTTGCCTCTTCTTTATGGATGCCTATGTAGGGAAGTAACATTGGAGAAAGGACACCATTATTCCTGCAAGTGGAGGAAATTGAAGTGATCTCTATTTAACCTTCTTATTGCATAAAAGGTCAATGCTATTTGGTGAGTTTGTTTCACGCAGGGGGATTATCACTGTTGTATGCGGAGAAGAAACACTTTGGCACTTTTGAAGAGTGGATTGTTTCACTTTATCTTCACAGTGGTTATTAGTTTAAAATCTATGGAAATCTCTTGAAATTATATGGAGATTACTTATATTTAGGGACATTTTAATAATATTTCATGCCTATGGTATTATTATTCTATACTGTGCACCAATTCATTAATCTTACTGTAATACAAATGAGCATACTTGATTTTAGCCAGTTTGTTGTTAGTATACTGGCTCTATATTCTATCATGAAAACATTATAGAAATATTCCATTATATATACATCAATGACAAGCAAAGCAATGTTTCCTGTCACATGGAGCTCTTCTGTTTTCCTTGTATAGCTATGGTCTTTCAGGCCTGCAAATACATTTTTAAAATTGTACACTGTCACTTCAAGAAGATTAAAATAAATCCTACCTGTCCTGCAAACAGTCCACACACTCCAATAATACAGAGAATGTTAAATACAGCGGAGCCAACAATGGTTCCAACCCCAACATCTCCTTTTGTGATGAATACTCCTGTAAGAAAAGTCAAAATATGATAATGAATTCACTCATTAAACAGGACACATCATAGTTACATAGTTACATAGTTGTTAAGGTTGAATAAAGACACAGGTCCATCGAATCCACAGGTTCAACCTTTGTGGTTGTGTTTGTGTGTGTTTGAGTTACTAAGCTTACCTTTACCTCTGTATATCTGGCTCTCTGAGAAAAGTATCTAGACAATTCTCAAATGATTCCATACTCAGCTGAAACCACTGCTGTGGAAGGGAGTTCCACAATTTAACAGCTCTCGCAGCAAAGAATCCTCTTCGCAGTTTAGGAATAAACCTTTTCTTTGCCAGTTTCAGATGGTGGCCTCTGACCTTATTACTGATTATCCCATCACCATTAAACAATTTGTACATTAATATCATGTCTCCTCTTTTCAAGAGTGCACAAGTTTAATGCATGCAGTCTTCCCTCATAGTTTAGGTCCTCTAACTCCTTTATTAGCTTTGTTGCCCTTCTCTGGATGAGATGTGGATGAACCAGTGTTTTGTAAAGGCACGGAATAACGGATTTGTCCTTAGAGTACATTCCCTTTTTTAGGCATGATAGTACCCTGCTTGCCTTCTTCACTGCTGCCTGGCATTGAATGCTGTTACTAAGGCGGCTGTCCGATAGGACTCCCAAATTTTTTTCCACCCCGCCCATTAATGAGTAGCTTGCATGAGTATTTTTAACTCCAAAATGCATAACCTTACACTTATCAATATTAAACTTCATCTGCCATATAGATGTCCACACACCTATTTTATCCAGATCTTCCTATAATATTGCTATGTCTTATACCGTAAGATCTATGTCTTACCCTACAAATGTTGGTATCGTCAGCAAAAACTAAAATGTCGCTATTAATATCAGGCCCAGACAGAACCTTGGGGCACGCCACTGCCAACCAAGGAACATTCGGAAAATGAGCCATTTATTGTTACTTTCTGCACATGTTCACTTAGCCAGTTCTCTATTCTAGTACACACCATTTCATCAATGCCCAAGGAGTGAAGCTTGTAAATTTAACGTTAATGAGGTACCGTATTGAATGCGTTTGCAAAATCAAGGTACACAATGTCCACTGGCTTTCCCCCCATCTGGGTTGCCACTCACCTCCTCATAGAACGCTAATAGGTTGGTTTGACATGGAGGGCCTTTCCTTAAGCCATGTTGGTTGTCAATTATGATATCATGCCCTTAAGCATATTCATGAATACGGTCCTTTATCATATCCTCAAATAACTTGAATACTATTGATGTTAAGCTGACCGGTCTATAATTCCCAGGTACGCATCTCAAGCCTTTTCTAAATATTGGTACAACAGTTGCTTCACGTCAATCAGCTGGTACCTCCCCAGAGAGTACGGAGTCCTTAAAAATTAGGAACAATGGCCTTCGCTATTATCGTACTTAGCTCTTTAATTACCCTTGGGTGCAAGTTATTTGGTCCTCGGGATGTGTTCACATTAAGTTTTTCTAGTCCTCCTCTATCTTCCATTAGCTTCAGTGCTATTTCCCTCCAAATGCTACACAGATTTTTGTTGTGTTCTATGATCTCTAGCCAGCATGTCAGAGAATGCCGCTGACTCTCCTACGCATCTCTATATAACCAGTTGTTAGTACCTGGCAAAAAAAGAAAACTGTAAACACTGCCTGGATTAGAAAGTAGATCCACTCTGCATCTGAGGTCTGTTTGGGGTCATATTACATAAGAGAGGGTGGGGGAACCCATAAAGAGTAATTGAAAAGTGATCTTGTGCTTTAGGTTTTCCAGTTATTTAAATTGAGCTCCTCTTTAAATAGTTGGCTCATCATATTAACATTTATTAGAACGATTGTTTCAGCCTAGCCACAGTGAAACAAACAAAAGTTCTACATCTTATGTGGATAGAGAAAAATGCTGGTCTAAAATGAGGGTCTGTAGAAACCCCTTGAAGCAGACCTTCCACACCAGGTCTGCTAGTTTACAGAGGGCATCCCTCATCTTAATTTGTTAAACAAAAATGTCAAAAAACACCTGTAGGGAACAGTTAGTTAATATATTTACCTTACCCTCACTTAAGCCTTGGTGAGGGTGACACCACCATCCTTTCCAGGGAATTCCTAGTGGCGAAAATGTTGACGCTACTGTACTGTGTGAGGTTTGGGGCTATCTGAATTCCCTGGGATCTCATTAGAAGGATGGTGCTGCCACATTCTCCAGAACGGAAGGGAGGTTTTTTTGACATTTTTGTCCAGCTGATTAAGACAGGGAAGGGCACCCTCAGTGAATGAGCAGGCCTTGCATGAAGTACAAAGTCCAATTTACCATTACCAATTTATAATTTGGCATACTTCCCATTTCGAGACCAGCTAATATCCATATAATACCCTCAAACACCTATCAACCTCACTATATAACACAGGTCATAAAGAAGAAAATGTAATTCAAGTGACCTTGCACTTTAAGTGCAAAGTAACAGAGTTGCCTTAGAGCAGCAGGGAGGGTAAGAAGCACATAACATATGAAGAAAACCCAGTACCTCTAGGTATGGAGTTGCATCTGACACTCTCTCCTGCCTTCCCCCAATGCAGTGATTGGTGTCTTGTCAGTCACTTATCAGTTCCAAAAACTGCCTGGTGAAGGCAGATAGAGGGTCCTTAGCAGGATCTTTTGGGGAGCAAAGTATGTGGTGGGGGGAAAGCCTTGAAGGACATTTTGCTCTCCACACCCTTCCTACTTAAAACAAACCTATTAAGTTGCATGGGCAAAGTACAAGTTTGCTTTAATAAAGTATTCCTTATCCCGCAGATCCCTAAAGGGATAATGGATCACACACCTATATTATATTTTTTAAAGTAGATGCCAGTCAATTTTTTTACACTAACATCATTCCTATAATTGTATTTTTTGACCAGATATCACTGAAAGTGGAGCTCCAGCTACCCCCCACACACACACACCTACTGAGCTACAGAGTATTAATCTATGTAATATCTGCTTTAAAGATTCATTTCAAGCAGTAATGCAACACACATGTAGACCTTGTTTAAATGTAGCTCTGTAGACACCATATAATCTATTGTACTATTTATTAGATAAAATCAGAGGCATTTCAGTGAGGGAAAAAAAGGAAAAGGCTAAATGTACATTTAGAGGAGAAGTATTGGGAGAGTAAAATGTACTCTCTGCAGGTGTCACATGTCGGCTCTATAGATCGAGAACTGAGTGATCACAAACCGCTGATCGGTCAATGAATGGTCTTCTCCCTGCAGAGAATAGTGACTGTCTATTATCACTCCCCGCAGTGACTCACCCATCCCCTCTCTGTTCATCCAGCTCTCAGTGGAGGGTTAGACAGGGGAGGGGGTAGGCTGAGCTGGCTCTGGCTCTGGAGAGGCAGAGCCAGCTGTCAATCAGGCAGTGGGATAGATCCTGACAACACTGTCAGGATCTTTCCCAGCTGCAGCGCGGTTCTGTGCTGTCAGCATATAGTGGGCAGTAGCTATCTGCTATTTTTAGGTCACAGGAGTACATAATTAAATATACTCCTTTGATCCAAAAGAGGACTAAAGACAAAAAATAAATAAATAAAAGGTTTGGCTGTAGTTTAAGAGCAGCACTGTTTTTAGGCATGTTCCCTGAATCATCTGACATAGACCAAATAGTATGCAGGCATAGTGTGTTTATTTTTAATTGTGTACATACTGATATTTTGGAAACCTTCCTCTTGCTTTCATTCACCCATTTCAATCCTTTCAGAATCATTTTTATGGTACTGAATAAAAGGAATTCTTTCCAATTAAACAAAACATTGTGGAAATGAGTTTCAGTGTGTTCCCTTCTTGGTTTGCGGTGCTTATTATGTTTTTGACAAAACCTATGAAAGGTCCATGTCGAGAATGGCTAAAGAGATTAGGAATAATAAACGTTTGGAAAGAGCATGGGTCCTATTCTGAATAGAAATAGAAGCCTTTGAAGGAACCTCAAATGTATGGTTTTATACTACAAGCACTACAGAAGCTCTGATTAAAAAAGAAAAAAATAAAGCGCACCAAAAATGGAGCGCTAATTGGGAGTATTGGGCCATTCAATCATACTCTGACAGCAGCTGGAACTTGGTAAATTTTTAGGAGTTAATTTACAAAAGTTCTGTCTGGCATATAGATGGACGGATGTTGTTTACACAGTGCACCTAGATGGCAATAACAAGTATATGAAGTTCCTGGAATAAACCCCTTATTATTTGCTATATGCCTTAGCCCAACTCTCTGCCATTGGAGTGGACAGGAATAAAATTAGCGTTAATTTTGGAGCACCAACTCAAAATGACTGTTACTACTATGTAGTGGAAGTAGGTATTTTAATGGGATTGTCCCAGTCAATGGATAAGGGTTGTGATGGGCATGTACAGTCCTCTATGAACGTATGCCTGTTGTTCCACCATCATCGTGCAAGAGTTCCAACTGTAAAAGTATTAAAATGTATGCATATTAAAAGATTAAAAAACAAACATAAACTTAAAATAAAGTGGTCATGTGGGCTTTTATGACTATTACTGAATCAACTTCTCAGGGAAGAACTCAATCTAACAAAAAGAAGTGGATGCACGTTAATGCCATCACCTCCATAGATACAGTACAGTGAGTGAGCGTTGTCACTCTAGGATAGGAAGTATTTTATTGGCAGGATCACCAGGTGCAAATAAAGGAATAAAGCCTGGAAAAAGAACCTAATATAGCCAGCAGATCTAAGACCCCCTTGACAATGATTGAACGGAAGCTGGCTGGCGTCTGAATGGAAGCGGAAAGCAGAGAAGAGCAGCATCTGGTCCTGCAGACATGTGCAGGAGGGGGAGCGGGAGCTAAACTGGGGATCGGATCGGAGTGACTGAGTGCCTGAATGACACTCGGATATAGAAATTAAGGATAAGAAAGGGAAACTACTAGTGGGAATATGCTACATGCCACCAAATACTGAGGAGGAGGAGACTCATATATTGTCACAATTAGAAATAGTGGGAAGGAAAGGCAATGTCATCATAATGGGGGACTTTAATTATCCTGCTATAGATTGGACAAATGAAACAGCAAACTCTAGAAGGGCCCGTCACTTATTGAACAATCATGGGACAATTGGAGGAAACCCTGAGGAGGGAACATGCATTTTTAGATTTATTAATTACAAATAACACAGAGCTGATTTCAGATGTGGAAGTCAGGGACAAGCTAGCTACGGTAAACTGAGGAAAACACAGGCATGTAGGTAATACAAGAAGACTCAATTGTAGAAAAGCTAACTTTAATAAACTAAGAGGCCTACTATGTGACATAAAGTGGGATGAAATATTCCTGAATAGGAACACAGAGGAGAAATGGAGAGTTTTCAAGGAAATCTTGAATAACCAAATTGGCCAGTGCATTCCATTTACAACTAAATTCAGAAAAGCAAAAATGAAACCAGGGTGGTTAATAGGCAAGGTCAAACAACACATAAGAGAGAGGGATAAGTCCTTCAAAAAATATAAATGAGAGGGGTCAGCATCGGCATTCAAAATATACAAGGAATGCAACAAAATATGTAAAAAAGCAATCAGGGCAGCAAAAGTAGAATTTGAAGATCACATAGCATTAGTAAGCAAAAAGAACCCCAAGGAATTATTTAAACATATAAATAGTAAGAAGGTACATATGGAACATATAGGCACCATAAATGATGATGAGGGTAGGTCGGCTACCAGGGACAGTAAGAAAGCGAACATGTTAAATGCATTCTTTTCTTCTGTCTTTACAGACAAGACGGGCAAGGGCATTGATGAGGGCATCAGCTGCGGAGATAGTAGTACCAGTTTTAACATATCTCTGTGGCTAATGGAGAGTAGAGTAATACAGAGATTAGAAAGATTACATGTAAACAAATCACCAGGACCAGATGGGTTACATCCGAGAGTACTAAGGAACTTAGTCAAGTCATAGCCAGACCCTTTTACAAAATGTTTATGGACAGTATAATGACAGGCTCATTGGTCCAGGCTCATTGGAGGAGAGCAACTGTAGTACCAATATTCAACAAGGGGGGAAAGAAGTGCGCCGGGAAACTACAGGCCTGTCAGCCTAACATCAATGGTATCTAAAATATTTGAAGGCATGATACAGGACTACATGCAGGAATTTGCAAATAAAACTGGTATCATAAGTGGTAACCAACGTGGTTTCATGAAGGGCCGTTCTTGCCAGACCAATCTATTAACATTTTATGAGGAAGTAAGTACTAAATTAAACAAAGGAATATTAGTAGACGTGGTATATCTGGACTTTGCTAAAGCATTCGACACAGTACCTCACAAACGTTTAATCCAGCGGTTCTCAACCTGTGGGTCATGACCCAAAAGTGGGTCGCAACTCATTGTTGAGGGGATCGCAGCTTCCACTTCTGCTGCACTAGGTGAAAGGCTCCTCAGTCTCCTCCTAGCGCAGCAGTGTCAGTGTCAGTCAGTGGGAGGACAACAGAGACTGTGAATATAAAAGTGCCGATGTACACACTCCCTGGCCGCTGCAGCGACATCTAGTGGCCGGGGAGTGTGTACAGCAGTGCTTTTCTATTCACAGCCGCTGCTGTCCTCCTGCCTCCCATACAATGTGAGCTCTGCAGGAGGCGGGTGTCTAAGCAGTGCTGGGGCGAGAAGGCTGCATGGAAACAGAGCAGGGAAGCAGGTAGCAGGGGCTGGGGAGGGCTTGTATTCTTGTGAGTGTGCTTTTAATTTTAGTCCCAAGTCCAGTGCCTTACTAATTCCAGTGCTCCGTTGGGGGTCACCACAACTTGGCAAATGTTACCAAGGGGTCCCGGCCCTAGAAAGGTTGAGAACCACTGGTTTTATCCATAAACTAAGGTCTCTAGGTGCAGATGAAATTGTATGTACAACGGGGGAAAAAATGGTTAAAAGGATGGACCCAGAGGGTAGTGATAAATGGGTAATTTGCTAATTGGGCAAGGGTGGGGAGTGGGGTGCCACAGGGTTCACTCCTGGGACCAATCCTTCTCATCTTATCCATCCACAACATAGAGATTGGACTTTGTTTTTTTCTGGATGATACTAAATTCTGCAGAGCAGTAAACTTTGAACAAAAGATATTCGCACTACAACAGGACCTAAGCAAAATTGAAGCATGGGCTACAAGATGGCAAATGCGATTTAATGTTGAAAAATTCAAATTCAAATTCTTAATTTATTCACCTGAGAAAAGAGGCGATTAAGAGGGGACCTTATTGCAGTCTTCAAAATCATCAATGGGGACCACAGTATTAAGAACAAACTGATTAATCCCAAAACTGTATTGAGACACAACAGGAGGTTAGAAGAGAGAGGTTCAATCTTAGAAATCGTAGGGGGTATTTCACTGTGAGAGTAGTGAAAGTTTGGAATTCCCTAGCACAGGCAGTGGTGCCTGCTGATAACATTGATAAATTCAAGAAACTTCCGGATGAGTTTCTTTTTTCGCAGAATCTACAGGGAAAGGGAAGTGTTGGAGCAAGATAAATATAGACACACACACATACTTACATACATAGGTTGAAGTGGATGGACTTTGATCTTTATTTAACCTTACTATGTTACTATTTTAGCCCATTCACACCAAGGCAACAGCATTTCAGCACGCTTTACACTTGTTTTTTTATCGCATTTTGGATGCTTGTTCCTGCACATTTTACAAGCGTTTTTCTGTCATAAGCAATAGCGTTTCAAGTAGCGTTTTCAGCTCGTTTTACAGTTGTCCAATAAAAAGCAGTCTCAGCTGCAAAAACGCGCTATAAAAATGCACAAATAAGCTCAGCGCATTTACATTGAAGTCTATGGAGCAAAACGGGCTGATGTGTGCCACAAAAGAAGCTCAGGGACTATTTCAAACACCAGAAGTATATTTCTACGCGATTAAGCATGTTAGTGTGAACGGCCCCCATAGGAATACATGGAATTTTATGTTGGATTCGTTTCAGTGTGGAAAAAATGTACGACGAAACGCTTTGGTGTGAACCGGGCCTAAGAACTGATAAATACGTATCTAATTTTGACTTGGTATCAAGAGGAAAGAAAAGTAGCATAAGGAGCCAATTAAGTGTGACGCAGCATAAGGAGATTGCTAATAGGTGGAGACAGCAGAGTGACAGATAGCTGAGCTCATTTGTTTTCTGCTTAGTATTTCACTATCCAGTCTCAAGGAGGGGATGGGGAGAAGACCTGTACTTGAAAGTGCAACTGTAGCAAAGAAAGCTCAGGTCCCCAGCCAGACAGAACTATGTTGTGTGGCAAAGCTGTGGACATCTAAGGATTGGATAGACAGAAATAGAAAATCCCATGGCAGGTAGAAACACTCTCATATACTGTACGTATTTCATCTCAATATTTAGCAGTTTGCCTGGAGCTCAGTTTTAAATCGTAAAAATACCAGCTCTTTTGAGCCCCTCTTGTTTATGTTCAAGTGAATATCAAAACCAAACTTTACTAGCTTTCCTTAGCAAGATTTCCCCTCACTCTATAACAGCAACAAAGACAGAAATATTTTTTTTCCTAGAGTATCAAAAGCGCTAGAACATTTATCAGCTTTGTATTTCTGTTTTACAGATTCTACTACACTTTATGCCTAGTGAAGCTGTTGTCACCATAACAGTAAGTGAGGGGAAATCCCTCGAACAGAGCCCCAGATAGCAAACCCAACAAGGGTTCTGATTCTTCCCCATTCTATCCAACAGTGGTGTAGTGGTTAGCATTTCTGCCGGTTCAAATCCAGCCCAGATTGCTATCTGCGAGGAGTTTGCATGTTCCCCCTGTGCTTGCGTGGGTTTCCTCCGGGGACTACAGTTTTATTCTTGGAAAGTATCTTATTGGGTTAGGGGAAATAGAGACGATAACTTTGCCCCTGACTATGGATGAGGTAGCCAATGACTATATGATTTTTATCTTTTAAACATACATCATTAGACAATATCATACCTATGACAGATGTAAAGAGCTCTGGTGCAGAACTGCCAGCAGCCATGAAAGTAGCTCCTGCCACATCTTCACTGAGTTGAAGCCTCTGCAGAGGGAAGGATATAAATACACATTTTAATACATATACAGTTTTGTGTTATATCAGTTCATGTGAATGCACATTAAACAGTTCATACTTGCAACTTTCTGCTGTAACAAACTATAACTTGCCTTGCTATTCAATAAAATTGGCTTGAGTTTGGTGTCTCAAGCAGCTCCACCTTCACAGTTTGATACCAAAGCCAACCCTACTGTGCAATCCTGCTTTAATTGCAAGCATACGAGTACCACCATAGAATGTCTTTGGGCTCTTTAAACTAGAAACTCCAGCCCATACTTTTATGTTTTAAATAGAGTGTGAATTAATTAGAACCCCCTATTATGTTTTTGTTGCAGTACCTGAGCCCTTGGGAAGTATTTTATTCACTTCATATCCCAGTGACAGTGGGCATCACCAAGGCAGTAATTGAGAAGAAATCTTTCCAACAAGAACACAAAGAGTAATTTTACGTGAGGAAGGGCTTTGGCCTCTGTCAGGTGTTTACTGTTTTGTACACACTCAATGGGGAGATCCCCTTCCCTTCTTGCCTTCTTGCTCAAATTATATTAGTCCCTGGGATAGGAAATGAGTAGGGATGAGCTAGAGTTTGACCTGAACCCAATCTGTTCACAGTGTGGCAAATGGATTAACTAGTTGGCTAGTTTGCCCGTCCCCCACCCCAACCTCCACCTGTGTCCTAGTAGGCAAAGACACTGTGCAGCTCTGCTGCTAGCATCCTAGCAACCAATGATGCTATGTGGGTAGCACAGCATAGTCGGTTGCTACGATACAGGCGGCTCCACAGCATCATTTGTTCATATAGACCTAGCAACCAATGGCATTGTGCAGCCTAGCCACTAGCATACTAGCAACTAATGGTGCTAGGTGCATTCATGAATGCACTTATACATTCACTTACAAACAACAGGAAAGGAAATGATAAATTCCCAATGATAAACAGTCCCACAGTGCACACTTACTTCACAAATCTTCTCCAAGGATGGGACAAAGAAGTCATCACATACAATGGCGAGAGCATAGAACATGTACATAGCCTGAAAAGAGAGAAAACATATATAACTCAGACATAGAAATGTATAGATATATAATAATGGCAGAAGACAGGAATCACACACACTCGGTAAGTTGTATCAAATAGTGAATGTCCATTTAATCGGACAAATCTTCACATAAACGTAATATCAACGTTTCGGGACGGCACAGGATCCCTTTATCAGGGTAATAATGTGACATTGGAGTGCAGAGGGACTTTCTGTTTTTTCCACTAGATATATAATAAGTCATCCAATATGTGTGAAAGCTTACACAATTTCTGGAAAGAAATGGAAGTTTGATGCTAGATCTATGCACATGGACTGTGGACATACAGAGATAAGTTGGTTGAGCAACAAAGACACTGACACTCCATACATACTACTGAATAATACTAATTTGTGACATGGCTATAACATTGTGGAGGGCAATTTATCCAAACTAGAGCAGACAGAATGTGGAGCAGCTGTGCATGGCAACCAATCAGCATCTCTCTTTCTTTTTCAAATCCTAACTGAACAAACTGAAGAGAGAAGCTGATTGGTTGCCCTGGGCAACTGCTCCAGTTGTGATAAATTCCCCCTATGTATTTGTTATATTTTAAATTAATCTGCATGGAAATACAAACAAAATCTGAATATTTAATTCTTATCATTTTAAAATGACTATGCTTACTGTCGCAAAGAGCTACTAGTTCTGCACAGGCAGGTGAGTGGATCTAAACCCTCCCTACGTTACAACTTAGAAATTATGCATGCATGCATACATGCAAATCTGTGTTGAGATGCATATAGCCAGCTTCTATGGCCACTTTTCCCCAGCACAGTAAATTACTTGAATGTATCATTCACTAGACAGTCGCTGCTCATGGCCGACATGTAAACAATTGTGTGTAATCAGCAGCCACTGACTACACTCATTTAGGGCCTATGTTAATAGTGTGTAATCAGTGCCCACTGACTATACACTATTGTTTACATGTTGACCCTGAGCAGTGGCGGCAGAGTCCAATGATCTGTACGATATAAATCTTAGCACTAAAAATATGTGTATAAAAATATACACAAATGCACTTCAATGGACGCAGATATTTCTAGTTTTGGTTTATGCACCTTAATGCTGCGGACCAAAACAGATCTATGTCAATGGCCCGTAGGATACAATACTGCTGCATTTACATCCGTATAAATTAAGGATCCGAATGCAGCCAATTGTATGCCCGTGTGCATGAACTCTTATCAGCCTATTGTTACTTATTTTACTAAATGCAGCTATCTACAAAAGAGAAAGGAGAACACATAGCAATGGAGATGACCTGTTCCATAATGGCTGCCCAAAAGGGCCCTGATGAAAGTGCTCAACACCAACAGACAAATCCATCCTTACAAAGCAATAAATGTTTGAAAAGGAATATAGTGTTGTACTTATTGATAATGAAAAAGTAGATTTCTTAGATTTCTAAATTCCACATGTGTTCTAATATGCTGCCAAAGCTGCATTCACATAGACACTATACTTGTATTCATATTAACTGAGTAACATTCCTTTTATCAGACCTGAGGCTCCACGGCTAATGGAAAATCACGAGAAGTGCTGCAAAAGACATAATAGATTGCCTCATTGTAGGCACAGCCCTGCCACTACTGACAGCACGCAGACAGCACTAAATCCTATTCTCTATATGACGAGTTCATCCAAACAGCAAGTAATAAAAATAAATTTGATCTGTAAAATAGATCTTCATGGTCAGTTCTGCAAACAAAACAACCATCTTGCAAAAGCAAACTTGCCCTTTATATTGCTAACAAATTAGTTTCGTCAAACTATTTTTCTCACCAAGATGACTTTGCAGGATTTAATATACCAAAATATAAAATGCTTGGCCTTAAGTTTACTTTAGTAATGCTGAAGAAATGTACAAAAAAACCTTCTTTTCTGTATTTTTCTTATACTGTGAAAATAATCAGTTGTCCTTGCATGAAAGGTTTCCAGCAGCCTTTATACTTTGAGACTATTATGATTATAGAGATTCCAGAAAATATGATTTATACTTCAGTTGCATGGTATTGTGCGAGAGGAAGGGATAAATGCTGCCTGTGTTGGGAGCTGTTTAATGTCCTTGTGTCCTTAGATGTCATGAAAATGATCAGAGTGAAGGAATGAACAATGAAAATTGCCCATCTCTGATGATCCCACACTGCTGTTTTGCTCTTTTGTTGTCTTTTTATAGTTCAGTATGCTGCTGGGACCTTTGTGTGCTCTCTAACCCACCACTGATAGAAAAAAAAAAGGGACAGATCATCCATCGATGCACTTGTCACCTTAGTACTCTGTATTTCTTGCCTCTGGGAAGACTATGAAGCCAAGTTTCTATTCCACTGTGACTGGAATGAGTTTTTTTCCTCTCTACTGCCTAACTGGCCTAGCTAGGCATGGATGATAACTTTAAATTGTAATGCTTCCAGCAATAGGAAAACCTAAGGTTGTAGGTCATCCCTCGGTTCACAAAAATAAATGCAGCTGATAAAACTGGTAGAAAAATACGATAATCTGGCACAACAAAAGAGAACAAATCTACGTATTTATTGCAGAGGTGAAAAAACAAAGCTGTCCAAAAAGTGGACCTATATTAAGAATAATAGAGAACATCTAGAAAGAAGAATTGTGGCTAAGCAATACTCAGAAAAAACTTCTTATGTCTTGAATTCATCCTCCAAAATAGCAGTGCCCCTCTAGACATCTGATTGTGCCTTATTCATTCTGCGTATCTGTGCTTCTACTACCTCCCCAAGTTCTTGATCTTTACTGCACTAGACATCATTTAATCAGATCGCTCGTCATTGGGGAGCGGGTCTAACATGAAAAAGCAAAGTCCTGCTTCTCTGCCAAGATGGCCCCCTTCAACCAGTGGCACAGTGGGTTACCAAGAATAGTGAGGTGATCCTGGGGAAAAGATCAGCTGCAGGGAGACTACAGGCAATGCTGGTAACTGCTCATTTACCATCTGCTTGACTCTTTTTGCACGTGACTTCCTAAGTATAGATCCTCTTTTAAAAGTATTAAAAAAAAACTTTTGTGCATAAAAAAGAACTCACTAATACACATGTAGACCAGAATATAGACAACACTTCCTCCATTCTCTACAAAAATATCATCCCCCGCCACACACACACAACCCAAAACCTCTTCACCTTGTACAGTATGCCCCCTCTTCGGTGATGTATGAGTCAGAGTTTGGATATAGCTAGTTTGACACTTGTTCCCCCCAGGAGCAGTTTGGATATAGATAGATAGGCCAAATGGACCATGAGTCTTAACCTTGACTCTGACACTGAACCCAACTCTGCAACTTAACCATTGTCTTAAATCGAAGCCCCAACCTGTCCGATTATCTCCCACTCTGACTGCCTTCTTTATGGGATCCCTTAAGACTCATCTGTTCAGGGAAGCCTATCTCACCTCAACCTAGCCACTCAACCATCACAAACAATTCATCCCCACACAGCTACCTCCTCATGTATTACTTGTCCCTCCCTTTTAGATTGTACTCCCTCAGGGGCAGGGCCCTCCCTACCATCTTGTCTTGAATTGTATTGTTACTGTAATGTCTTCCTTATATTGTAAAGCGCTGCACAAACTGTTGGCGCTATATAAATCCTATATAATAATATTAATGATCTTGGTATTGTTTTTACAGCAGATGAAGTGATTTAATGTGCAAGTGATCTGGGTGGCTGTAGAGTGAAGGCTGCTTCAAACTTTGGAGCCAGAGCAACAATTCTAGGGTCATAATTAACTGTTAACTCTAAACATGAGCAGCAAATGAGCAGTAAAGGCTTTCAGAGTGTCGCCTATGAGAATTTTGAGTACCATAGTTTTTAACCAGTGTATGGGTGGACACAATTTTAAGGCTTCACGTGTTTGGTACCTATTTACTTGATGAGATCTCATCTTTTATGATTTACAAAAAAAACTGGTATTATATAGCATTTGTGTGAACTAAAATTGATTTTAGTGTATTTTTAAATATTTGTATATTGTGTGACATAAAAAATTGCTGCTACAATTCTTTTTTTTCATTCTTTAGGACCTCTGCTTTTAGAAAATGTATAATTATTTGGAGGTTTAAAGTAATTTTCTATTCAAATATTCAGATTTTAACATGTGTGTTAAATGAAAAAAATGCTCTGGTACTAAAGTGGTTGATTTTGGTCACTTGGAGAACTACTATCACATTATACATAAAGAGTAGTGATCTACAGCAGCCAAAGAGTAATTGTATTCCATTCCTGTGAGTGTCCTAAAGTGATGAAAAGTGGAAGAGGATTGGCTGCCACTTTGCACATCATCACTCTTTGTGATGCCGCACTACACTCAATGTGTAATGCCCCCCAAGTGTGGCCACTGTTTTGTTAGAGATTATTATTCACTTCACACATTTTGTTTATGATACAGCAGGACATTTTTTTATAAGCCTAATTTAGTAATCCAGAAGGAATTCAATGTGATATCCTGTTGTTTGCAGCTGTTCATGAAAGAGAATGAATTTACAGCTGACTGAGCCAACCACAAGAGGTATAAGAAATGAATGCATCAAATATGCTCACCAGGATACCCGCTATAACTTTTGTAAAATGTTCTTTGTTGCTTTGCTTTTATATGACCTACAAAGTGCAACTATTCTATGAGCTGTCTAATGCTAGCTAAAAGGTCAGAAGATTATAAATATAACATGCCAGAATGAAAAACATCATTAAATTCCACCACAAATGTAACAATAAAATAATACAGAATTACTTTTTCCAACTTAGCTACTATGTGTCTGTTCTCATGTGTATTCATGTGTTCTTGTGTGTGTGATTGTTACAGTAGTCCTTATACTTACTAGTTTACAAGGCCAGAGCTGCGTGATGCCTGAAATTGAGCCTCTGGGCAGGTGATGTTTGTGTTCTGGTTTGCGGCTTTCTAGTGCTTTCTATATCATTATTTTTCTTCCTTGCTAAAACTGGAAAAACCCTGGCCAATATCTCGCCATAACTGTGCAGTATCAGTAGGCCATTAACAAATGATGCACAACATTTTGTTTGCATGAAGATACAATACACATGAGCACATCATAAAAATGTCCTATAACTATCATCCAAAAATGTTCAAACCTAAAACTGCTAAAACAGGTGAGTTTAAAGCAGTGGTGGTCAGCTTACTACCTATAGAGGGCCTCAACTGCACCCTTTGACAGTAACATGGGGCTGATTGTATTATTAGGCATATTTAATTATTTAGGAAATTGTTTTAGGATATATAACTTTTTAGGAGATGGTTAGAGACTGCTGACATACTGCAAGAGATGATCAGGGACTGGGAACATGCTACATTTGTTGGTGGAGAGTGGATATGTGCTGCAGGAGGACTGTAGTATTAAACTGCTAGAGATTACTGTCACTACAACTCTTCTACTACTGGCTGCTGGAGCCTGAGTGATGCACAACAAGTTCAAAAGTTGGGTATAGGGGTTCATACGTTGTCCCTAGCCCTTTTGCTGCCTGAGAGGGGTGGGGTAGTGTCGGTGCATGCAAACAGTGTAGGAGGGGTTATGTGCTGGTGGAGAGTAAGGTCTAAGAGCTGAGAGCTAGGCGGGGAGATGCTTAAGGGCTTTGGATCTCCCTGCCCAACTCTTAGCAACCTGGGACGTTCTTGGTGGCATCCGGCCAAGCTCCTGGCAACAGTGACATTATTGTGACAGCAAGAGTGTCCCAAGTTTCATAGGATCTGGGCGGGGAGATGTACAGTATAAGGGCCATACACATCACCCTGCCAAGCAACCTAGGTCTTGCCGGCATCCCACCAAGCTCCTCACAACTAGTGACATGACTGGTTGCCAATAGCTCAGCGGGACTCTGGCAAGAGCATCCCAAGTTGCTAAGAACTGGGAGGGGAGATGTGTATGGCCCTTACACATCTCCCTACCAAGCCCTTAGTAACCCGGGATGCTCTGGCTGGAAAGGGGCACACAATTTTGTGCAGCAGACAGCCATGCCACTCTGCCTGCTGCCACTCCATGTGTCCCAAAGAGATGCCACCTGAGGCAACAGACTCAGGCTGACCCATTATAGAACAACAGAAAATTAGACAAAAATTTCCAAACTGGCTGATATAATTTGCTCCTATTTTGATTTCCTGGAGTTGAACAGCTGCTGCCATTATTACCCCACAAAATGACAAAACAATGCATTAAAATTGCTAGTAATAAATTAAATGTCCTCTGTACCCTTACCCCTACCTTAATGGTCATATAACATATTTATTTTATGAAGTCTGTCTTTTAAAAACATACTCTAACTTTTGAAAAAATGTAATAAATGCACCAATGATAAAATAAAAAATGTACATTTATAATAACTTTGCATTCAGGCCTGCAGAGCATTACAACCTCTATCTCAACCTCAACGCACTTACTTTGGTTACCCTCAGTCCCAGGTCCATACAGAGGTATGGATCTTCTGTTATGGGGCTGGAGCAAGTGCGGACTAGAGCTGTAAGTGTGAAGAACAATGGTGATGAGGTCATCGTCCTGCTGCCGTCTCCCGTCTTGCTCTGCTGAGTCCCTCTGCTGTGGTGGCAGACAGGACTTATAGTATTTTCATTCAGCAATCCCTGTGAATGTAAGACGTAGCTGTACATGGCTTTGCCTTTAATAAAAAAAAGACACAGAACGAGGAAACTAGAAGCATTCTGTGATTCTGGTGGGGGGTAAATGGTGTTGTGTAATTAGGCGTAGTGCATGGTACCATGCTTCATGTTACCTCTTAAATATGGGTGTAACATGAACTATGGTTCAAAGGGTGAACTATGCCTTTAAGACAGCTAAGTCAATGTTAGTTCCTTACTAACACACTACACAAAAAAACGAGATGTACTGATAATTCCATGGTAAATAACATTTACTATCACACCAAGAACAATAAACTCAGAATAAGACAACAGACATAAAAAATAATCAGTACAAACCCCCTATCCAACAAAACTAATCTAATGTGAAAATGCTAACACACAAGAGAATCTAAATATAAGCTATTACATGTTTGACGTGCCAGCAAAAAAATCTTCTTATGCCGAGGGAGAAGCAGAAATTGAAATAATCTCCACAGAATTATCACTAGTATTGAAATACCACAAACAAGAGCTGCTTAGGGGCGCCATCCTTTCTTATATTCTTGGCTAACAGCTGCAGCGGAATAGCAGATGTCTACATAGCGCTAACCTTACTGTTTTCTCGTCTAAGCCTTTAGTCCCTTGTCAATTCTTGCCATTTAGGATCTTCTGACAGCATGTAATAGTTTTTTTGTCATTCATTCTTTTGTACTAAGTGACTGCCATTAATTTCCCTATCTCACTTTTTTTTTCAATTCTGCATTCATTTTTTTCCCTGCCAAAATGAAAAATGAAACGGCACTTGGAAATAGAGATAGTCCATTATCAGTGTCTAACATATAGTAGATGAAGCCATCCTGAGCTTCTGATAGTTATCTCTATCTCCCACTACCTTATACGTTACTGTACATAACCCGAATATCTATGGAAGGTAGGAAAGTACGCTGCTCGAAGGGCCAACATACTTTACTCTTTAATCAATAATTGTTATTTGTGTACAGTAGGTTTATCAGCTGCCTGAGCACATTTGTGAAATTATAAATGAGCTCTGTATTCATGGAATTCAAGGGTGCAACTAACACCATAGAGACCATGTGACCGCTACGGGGCCCAGAAGCCCAGGGGGACCAATACTGTATTTATGCAAGTAGCAATAGCAGCTGGATGATACATTTGCATAACATTAGTGCATATCTAGTTAGGGAACCTATCTTTGATTGCTATGAAGGTATTCTGTATCACTATCTGCAAAGGAGTTTGTGTGGGTTTCCTCCGGGTACTCCGGTTTCCTCCCACACTCTAAAGACATGCTGGAAGGTTAATTGGCTCCTGTCTAAATTAGCCCTCATATGTACAGTATGCATGTGAGATAGGGACCTTAGATTGTAAGCTCCTTGAAGGCAGGGACTGATGTGAATGTGCAGTATGTAAAGCACTGCGGAAATTGTCGGCACCATATAAATACCTGTAATAAAGAAATAAATATCCCCCAAAAAAGACAGTATGAACTAAAAGCAAGCAATGACCTCTGCAGTCACCAAAGTATGCAATATGATTAAATTGTGTTGAGCCCTTCTGTTATAAAAACATACACACTTCTGTGAATAAATTATCACTACATTTTTTTACTTATACGACGATCAGGCATACCAGAATGACAACTGATAGAAGAAGAGAATCATTGATTATCTTATTACAATAGCACCTGGAAGTGGGTGGGACATATTAGGCAGCAAGTGAACATTTTGTCACTGAAAAAAATGGGCAATTGTAAGGATTTTAGCTACTTTGACAAGGGCCAAATTGTAATTGCAAGACTATTGGGTCAGAGCAACTTCAAAACTACAGCTCTTATGGGATGTTCCTGGTCTGCAGTGGTCAGGACCTACCAAAGGCGGTCCAAGGAAGGAAAACCAGTGAGCTGGCAAAAAGGTCATAGGCGGTCAAGACTCATTGATGTACGTGGGGAACAAAGGCTGGCTCACCCACAGTGTGTCAGTTGCATGCATTGGATCTTGTTTCAAGATGGTGGCACAGGAGCAGAGCAATGCAAAAAGAACTTTGTCTTCAAGGAAAGACAACTTGAACTCCATGAACTGGTATGTATGTTTTTTTTTCCAAATTTCCATAAAGGCACAATTATTAGGGATTTTACATTTTATTTTAGCTAGGTAGGGTCACGTTTCTCTTTAATATACAAAAATCTTTGTAATGTATTTATAAGACCTATTTATTTTTAAACAACGCTGAATTGTCATTTTAAGAAAACTGAAGCTATCTGAGCTAATCAACAAGCCATCATGTACATGTACATAATGTATAGTGTCTGACAGGTCAGGCCTTGGAAGATGTACAGTCAGCTGAACCTCACAATGCATTCCTGTAAAGTTTGGATATAGACCTTTTAGGAAAGCTGACTCAGGGCTTTGGTTCAGGAAATAAAAGGAAAGATAGCAGAAAACTAGGGACTAGCTGTACACGTTTATTTAAAACACATTTTATAAGATTTTTGACACGATGTTGCAATGGTTATAGTGAATATACTGTATATATTAATATACTGTATGTTATAATGTGCATACAAGTTGTAACTTGGTGCTTTCACAAGCCTTTGAAAGTATGAGCAGATTCCAGGACTGGCATTAAAGGGAACCTGCTGCTTTAGCCTGCATGAGCAAAGCAGAGATTCACTTTAAAACCCACATCCAGCCTTCCTCATTACATTAAACCATATTGGTCCTCACATTAACTGGCTTGCACAGGGACAGACAGTGTTAATAGACTGCAGTTCAAACTTGTTCCCTATCTCCAAACAAGAAACGGATGCCTGTGCACTGCACACCCATAAAAACTCATGGTGTTTGTAATGTGATCTGTACACATGGGCCAAGAAGAGCTATTGATATCACAGGAAATGCAGAGCGCAGGTAGGCAGTTCACTGTATGTGATCTGGAGCCAGGTGGAAGAAAAGCTGGAGCAATGCGAGGTAGGATATTGTGTTTAGTAAGGAGGCCTGGGGTATAAGATGAACTAAAGCTGAACTCCAGGTATGCATTATTTTGCATACTTACATTGGTCCACCTTGGCCTAATGTAAGTATGCATATGCCATACCTTATTGGCCACTGGGGATCCTGTAGAGCACTGTAGTAGCTGGAGCTACTACAGGTATGGCTGAGTTCTTCTGCGTCCTGCTCTGTGCTGAGCTGAGCGGCTTCCTCTCTACAAGGGGCCACTTGCTCGGCGTAGTGGCCATTTGGTGAATGTCTAGTATATTTATCAATGAATGAAGGAGTTCTCTGATTCGACAAGAGGAAGAAAGGGATGTCACCGCACCTCGTCCACTTAAATTAATTCTGAATATCCAAACGTGTGCACAGAAAATGACAAAAACAGTATAATGGCTTGCAAATGATTGGATAATAATAATTGGATAGAAGTCAGCACAGCTTCACGTCATTTAGAAAGCTAAGGGAAAATCCCCTTACAGAGTGAAAAATTCCCTTTGCAAAGTGGACAGGCTTTACTCTGTTAGTAAATCAGCAATAATATCCTAGAAGCACCAAGCAATGTTGTCCTAAAACTAAATACAGCTGGACTAGATTGAAATTCCTAAGTTGTTAATGATGTCCTGTATCCAGAAACCGTTTAAATGGAACACCGTGGAGAGTTTCTTTAAGGTTCATGTATTCATTTTCATGGCAAAAGAAGCTTGTAATACTAAATTGTATTGAATGTTTATTAATCAAATCTTTTCTGGGGAATTGGGAACCTAATTGTTTCAATGTGATTTAACTTTCCTACATAATAATAATAAATAACATTATTTATTTGAACTTATGGCCTACAATGTGCTTCTGCTCTTGGTCTTAAAGTGTGCAATCTCTAATACAAGATTTTCTTTCAAATACAGAAAAGTGCTACCTGCCACTAGACAAGAATTTACTTAATCTTTGCTTTTCCCTATTGCAATAACCTACTGTAAAAGGTGGCCATACACTAGTAGATTTTCGGTCAGAAATTTTTGTTTCTGCCACAAACCCTCATTCGATTATAGCTCGAATACCCCTTCAAGCATAATCAAATGTCAATTCATAACCAACCAGTTTTTGCCGAACTACGGAAATAATTTCCTTTTGGCAGGCGCTGTGTTCTTGTTCTTGACGAATGAAAACTCCACTGATTCATCAATTTTTGTTCGTTCAAAGAAAAATTTTCCAACCTGATGGATCAAAATTTTTTGATTACGACATAAAGACCGCTCGTGTACAATTTCCAAACAAAAATCGTACAATGCATCGCCACCTTAAAGTGACATTAAAGACAGCCTCCCCCCCATGCTACTGTAAGCACTTACCTTCTTTGATGCCTCTTGATGCGATCATCTTCATCATTCCACTCGTTTCCGACAGTCCCTCCAGAGCTGGTGCTGGTCTCTGATCCAGCGCAGACTCCTCATGTCCCACGATGTCTGCCTCACTTTATTTCTCTTTTCTTCCCCTTCCCTGTACTGTGCATGCACACTTCCTCCTTCACAGCCATTTGGGAGCCGTGAGTTCTTCAGCTGGGAGCGAGCGGCACTGGAACAGGTAAGTAAATAGGTATTTGCCTACTGTTTAATTTTTTTTTAATCACAGGTCATATATTTACTGTTTATTAGCAATAGATATATGTGAAAAACGAGACTTTAATTCTACTTTAACTCGCATCTCCCTGAAAGAGGTGCACCGAAATGAAAATTTCAAAACCGAAATGAAAAGAAATGTCAGGCCAAAACAGAAAAAAATTTTTTAACCCTTTTCAAAAATGTTTATATTTTATTTTTTTTAATTTTTTTAATTTATTGTTTTTTTAACTTTACTTTTAGGGGCTTCTGGGAAATATTAGGGGTCTAGACTTAATATTATAAATGAACAGGAATCCTCTATACTGAGTGTTCCTGTTCATTCATAACTTGTGGATATAGTATGTTTACTATGTCCACAATCATGAATGTACAGGAAGTGATGTAGATTACTTCCCATTCATTCATAATTGGGGACACAGTACACATACTCTTATTAATATTATACAATTATTTACAGTCAGTGATCACTGATCGCTGACTGCTTCTACCGCTCTGCTTCCTGGATCGGCGGTGCGAGGAGCTTTGGGTGACGGGAGGATGCTAGTTTGTGTCCTCCCGTTGTCTCGATCTCCTCTGACAGCTGACTCCTCCCCTGCACCGCTGGCCTGGTGCCAGTCACTCACAGCTCTCCTTTGACAGTTTCTTCCCTCCCCGCTAGACAATGCGCTGTGTCAGAGCAGCGTCCAGCGGGGGGGAGAGAAAGCAGGGATGCACCGTTATTTCGGGCCAAAAATTGCAATTTTGGTGTTTTGCCAAAAGTGCCATTTTCGGTCGATACATATCAGCGGCCGAAATTTCGGTGCATCTCTAAGAATTCTACAGAAAAAGAAAGACCATTTCCCCAGAAGAGGGATAGTTGGTAGCTTTAACATAATTTGTACAACTTTATTTATTCTGTATAAAAACGTATTTCTTGTTTTCAATTTATCGAAAGGAAAACTATAATGTATTAAGAAAAAGATGATGGATCTTGGATTCCTAGAAATATTTCTAGAAGTCTTCTGCTGTGCACCCAACAGTGAGCAGCCTCTACATAGGAATCAATGAAGAGTCCAGCCAGGAGACTAATTTTGTGGTGGCTGTGTGGTTGCGAGTGATCAATGAAGATCATGGAGGAAGGAAGACAGGTAAGTAAAGGATTTGGGGGACATGGGGTTGCTGGGGCACGGTGGGGGCACCAGCACACTCTCCAGTGCCAAAATCTTTTACTCTTATTTTTTAAATGACTTCTCACATAGAGACAGACACCACCATCTTTTTGTTTACCCTATCCTTTTGAAAGAGAGTGTAGTCAGGGATGTTAAATGCTCAGTCGTGAAGAATCAAGCCAAGAATCTGCAATACCTGTTAAATCATAGTGTTCTTCTTGCACCAAAGCTTTTAGCAAATGCCAAAACCACATTTGGGAACAAACAAATTATGCCATCATTATATTTTGCATTTATTATATCAGGTTTTGTTTTACAATAAGTACTATATTTGTAAATTTAGGAAGGATGAATCTTCTTATCACCTGCCATGACCCTCCCTCCATCTTCTCTCATTTTACACCAACCGGTAGAGTCTGACCTCTGCCAAATTATTTAGTAACTCAACTTCCCATCTCAGTCCTAGTTCAAACACTCCTCCAACTATTTCATAAACCTCTGCCTTAACACAGCAGTGCCTCTTCCATTTAGGATAGAGATGCACTGATACTCTTCAAGTACCAGTGCCGATACTTGGCATTTTCATGAGAACTACCAGGGTTGCAGCGGTTGCAGCTGGGACCTAGCTCTGGCGTTCCACCACTGTCCTGAAATCATTAGTCTGTATTGTTTTAGAAAAACTTTCACATGACAATAAACAAAAATGTATCAGTACTTGTAAGTACTTGGGCGAGTATCAGTACTTGCAAAAATGGTATGGGTGCATCCCTTTAATTTTATTTATAAAAACAAAATCATACATTAAAACAGGAATGTACAAATCCCAGGAGCTCCGTGTGCTCCTTACAAATGAAAGTTACCTCCTAACTTTTGCATTTTTCTCTAGTCTAGTCTTGGAGCTGGAAAAGTATCTATACTTGTACTCGTACTTGTATAGAGTACTGTACTTGGTATCGCTGCATCCCTAATTTAGGTACAAACCATGCTTAGCATATAGGTTGAGGGTGCCCAGGACAGGAAGACTGGTGGAAATAATAACCTAACAGAGGTTCTAATATGATACCTTGTTAGAAGGACAGTAAGTAAGAGGAAATTTCTAAAGTGGGGAAAAAGATTGCAATAAAAGTTCAGTCAAGGATATAACTGTGATGATAATGAGGTCTGGTGAACGGGAAATTGGCAAGTCAGCAAAAAATGATTAAGGTTTAAATCTTGTGTCTGTAGGGCTGGCAGAGAGCTGACATATTTTAACCCTCTCCCCCAACCACCACCATCCTCCAAAACAACCAGCTCAAGCAGATGAAGTTGAATAAACGTTACTTTGTCAGGGTCTGCAAAGCCTCAAAAGACTTCTAATTAAGCCCCATATTAAAATTTTAGCAGAGCCCTCAACAAGCTCTAATGTATCCTGGTCATAATTGAAGGGGGGTAGTAAACCTCCATTAAACCAGAGCCTGCTAACAGCCATCATAAAACAGATGATGTGTTTTTTTTTACCTTATTCCATAAGTGCTGATATGATAACACTACATTCATAACAAGTATCTAATCAAATATATAAGGAAATACCAATCAAGTAGGTACCAAACATGCCTATGCTGTAATGTCCAGAAGGAAGATTGATCACATTACATCTCCAAGGCGATGTGTGTGTCCAGTTTATATAGTGTTTGGTCTCTATCAAATCTTGATTCCATTCTGAGCAATAATATGTTGATTGCCGGATTGATACATATGGTCATCTAATAGAATTGATGCATTTAAAAAATCTGCCATTGAATGAGTATCTGTTAAAATATCATAAAAACACTTCAACATCCCTCAGCACACTCTTCAGATCCTTTGATAGGTTATGTCATTTCTGTAAACACACTCTGAAGGGTGAACCAAAAACCACTGAACTGGCAGCGGCAGTTCTTATTTTCCCCTGAAATTGTGAAGGATTGCTAAGGGTCATTCATAAGAGACAATTACCTTAATAAGTCAGATTGCACTTACTCTGTAGTAGATTGGAATCTACCAGCGCCAAAGACCAGGCAAACTTTGCTATGTACCTATCATTTTGAATCCCATTTATTTTACTATTGTTATTAAATATTTTGCTATATATTTTCTGTAAATATTGTCTTGCACCATTTTTCTTTTCATTAAAATGATATTTAAAAATTATGAAGTTGCTTCTCTAAATGCTCTAAACAGAAATTGAAAAAAAATCTTTGCCTCTTTTAACAAAGCTACCATACTTCAAACTCTGTTTCATTCCTGCATGGTGTTGCAGCAATTGTCACAGACTTTTTCAGCAGTTCTGAAACGCTACAGCAGGTACTGTGTATGGTGCATGTTTATGTTAAAACAAGAAGTGGCAGATATTGTTTGTGACTGTATTGGGTTAACTGTGGAGTTACCTGAACCCAATAAGATCACTCCTAGTCTACTGGCAATCAAATTGTTGTCCAGCATACTAAAAAATTATTGTGCAGTGTTGAGGCTTAAAGGAGAATTATGAGGCAAGTGATTTTCAGCCTCATAATCTGGGCCAACCTGTGACAATGAAACTGTCACAGGTCGGCTCAGTAGATCAAGAAGTAAGCGAACACATACCGGCGCTCGCTCACTTCTGTGACAGGGGAGGGACTGGATTCCCCCCACCCCTCCCCGATCCTCCAGCGCTGACTGGTGGAACGGACGGGGGAGGGTACAGCTGGCTCTGCCTCTAGATAGGCAGAGGTAGCTGTCACTCACGCAGCTGGGTGGATCCAGACATAATTGTCGGGATCCGTTCCGGCGTCTCAGTGTAGCTCGGGGGATATACTGAGCTTTGGGTGACGGGAGGATGCTAGTTTGTGTCCTCCCGTTACCTTTAGGAGAACTATGGGGAAAAGCCCTAACCCCATAGTTCTCCTTTAACATGTAATTGTCACAATCTGGTGTCTGAGGTGGGATCTAAGACTGCTGGTGCACACTAACCCCTGCTGCATTTTATCTAAAACAAAAGAACAGGCTCTGGCTGGAGCTGAACTGAATTAATTGTACTTGCAGAAAATACACTATGGTTCTGTTTACTATAAAGCACCCAGTTTTCTATTCTGTGGACAGCAGAAGCAGCACAAAACATCTACTGTAATCACATGGTACATATTTCTAGAGTTTGTGTAACCCCTGTGTAGCCTTTCCTCCTGTAGTGCTCACCCCCGAAGGAGCCGCTGGATGATCGGGTC